TTTAACAATTGAATTGTGTATTTTTTATCGGTTTAATATTAATTTGAGAAGCATTTGCGCAATTATCGTAGGGCCTACAAATTTAGTGGCACCATCTTTTTATTCTACCGGGCCTGTGCTTTCAGAAAATGTATGGTTTGGGGGGTCTTTTACAAACGCTAGCAACGCAGCAGTTGAAAATCAAATCAATGGGAAAAATTGCAAAAATGGTGTGGCCAGCTGAGGTGCAAAATGTTTTCCGGAGAGCTTGGCAGCAAAAGGGTTAATATATACTGTAATTCCCCGATATATGAAGATATACAGTGACTTGTCTATTCGGACCCACCTCCTTGGTCTGTGTCTGTACATAGTTACACAGTTGTTGAGGTTAAATAAAGACACAGGTCCATCAAGTTCAAACAATGTGAGTGTGTGTGTGTGTGTGTATGCGTTACTAAGAGTACCTTTTACTTTGTATATTGTGTTCTCTGAGGAAAGCTTCTAAAAGGTCATTGAATGAGTCAATACTTTCAGCTCAAACCACTGCTTGGAGGGAGTTCCACAATTTTGCCATTCTTACAGTAAGGAATCCCCTTTGCAGTTTGTGATTAAACCTTTTTTCTTCCAATTTCAGGTGATTGCCTCTTATCTTCTTGAGTGAACTAACAGGGAACAGTTTATCACTGATTCTACCATCCCAATTAAACAATTTGTACATTACTATCACAGACATCCTAACTCTCCCGGACGCTCCGGGAGTCTCCCGCTATTGGATAGCGGCTCCCGGCCGCCCGGGAGAGAAGCACTTCATCCCGGAAAGGTTTATCTGCTCGATCGAGCAGATAAACCTTTCCCTGCGATCGTTTTTTTTTTCTTTTCTGACATCGGGAGCCGCGGCCCGACCGTCAGTCAGAAAAGAAACAAAAAGGCATACGAATCCATAGCTAGATTCCTATTGGCTATTGCACTTTGCAATAGCCAATAGCAAACTAGGTACTATCATGTCCCCTCTTAATCTCCTCTTTTCCAGAGTGTACAGGTTTAGTGTTTGCAGTCTTTCCTCATAGCTATGGTCCTCCAACCCATGTATTAGTTGTGTTGCCCTTCTCTAGACTCTCCATTTCAAGGATATCCTTTCTATGGCTCGGTGACCACAATTGAACCGCAGACTCAAGATGATGCCGAACCAGTGTTTTGTAAAGGGGCGGAAATATGGATTTGTCTTTAGAGCACTTACCCTTTTTTTGCATAATAATACTTGCTCGTCTTACTTTCTGCGGCCTGGCATTGTATGTACCCTGCAGTATGTTTAACCCCTTCATGACTGAGGCCCTTTTTTCCATTTTTGCACCCATGTTATATTCCACATTTTAGGCCTGAAAATGACGTAAAACCCCCCAACATTATATATTTTCTGAATGCCAAGACCCTATAGAATAAAATGGTGGTAGTTGAAAATTTTTATGTTGATCACGAAGGGGTTAATAAATTATTCTTCTAGCCAGGTCTGCAGCCACGTTTACTGTTTCATGCCATGTACTGAACTCCGTGTGCCAGAATTTGGAGCAGGACAGAAAGCTGAACAGCTGTCAGGATATGATTACACAAGCCACCATCATCATTTCAGTGACTGTCACAAGCTGAAACTGTCAGCAACAAATTGTGAACCTCTCGAAGAACTGTGTGAATCCTTTTACAGATTTCATTTTTTCAAAGTTTGTGGAAGAGGAGTTAAACATTAGGCCACTTGATACTTGTCATCAATATATATACAGTAATCTTTTAAATATCTGCTACAGTATATTTTGTCACATTTGTATTGCTGTCTGTGTCCCTTCACTTCCTATTCTGGTGACCGCACAGGAAGTGAGAGTATCACAAACAACACACAAAAAACAACTACTGATAGAGATTCTAGCCACTTCCCTATGCTTACAAAAACCTGCCTGTGTCCCTTAATGCCTTAATGACCACCATGATTGAAATCCACTTTGTGTGCACCAAACACCTCTGCAAACCCATATATAATTATAAAAAATGAGCAGTGACATCCTCACTGAGCTGCACATAACCTGTGCAGCGAGCAGAGCTGTGTGAGGGACTGCCTGCAGAAGACTACAAGACGGGGCAGATAAAGACCAGTCACCCTGCACAATTAGAGAAAGCAGCACTGACTGGTCTTTATTACAAACAGCTCCTGCTCCAGCCACTAAACTCAAGAGTTTAATCTTAAAAATGCATTTAAATACCTTAACTAATAACAAAAATGTATCTTATTTGTGTAACACTCAGATGTAGATCCTCAAATCATCTCTGAATTGGTGCCGACACTGTCCTTCCTTCTGGAGAGCCGCTACTTTTCTTCCCCATGGTCCCTGTGTATGTTGTAAAGCAGCCAGCACTCCAAGTTCACTCCCGTAATGGACTACAATCTCAACACAAATTAGTAAACTAAATGAGGCAAACTAGGCAGTCGCAAGGCCCTAAGAGGCTGCCTAATTAGAGAGCTGCCCAGTGGAGGGGAGGGTCCAGTGAGATGCGGTCCAGCTGGCTTTGTACAGTAGGTGGAGGAGAAGCAGCAGGTGGCTCGGGGCTACCCATAGCATGTGATCGGAGGGCGGGATGTCCCAGAAGCAGGACTGCAATGTATCTTGTTGGTACTGATGGCACTTCGAGCTGCAGGTAAGAGGAGCAGCACATGTATGCAGAGAAAGGGACTATGCACAGTCCTCCTGAGACACTGCACAGGCCACCACAGACCCCACACAGCCCACCATAAACCCTGCACAGCTCTCCTGAGACCATGTATGGCTCTCCTGAGACCCCGTGTGCGCTGTATCCAGTGACTGACAGGTTGTGAAAAATGTCTTCAGCAGGATGGGGTGGGGTAAATTTAGATTGAGGGGGTGCCTGAGTTTAGTCTTGCCTAGGGCAGCACAAAACTACAATACACCACTGGGAGGAAGGCTGGGCCCGGCGTCAGAAGCGGAGGAGGAGGCGGGGCCTGCCAGCGACCACGGAGGCGGACATCGGATTGGGGCTGACAGGTAAGAGGTTTGCAGCCCACCTGAGACCCTGCAGAGCCCACCATAGAGGATCTATAGTGGGCTCTGCAGGGTCACTCTCAGTTGGGCTGTTTGGGATATCAGGTGGGCTCTGCAAGGGCATAACTAGAAATCACAGGGCCCCATACAACATTTTACTATGGTGCCCTGTGATGTCTAGTTACGCCCCTGCCTTTAACATCAAGAAAGAATCTTTGCAAACCTTACTTGGAGAAAAAGCCATTCAGATCCATCTTCTGTGCATTGAACTGGCTAGGACTTAGTAAGGACTGTTAAGTACTTTATTTGTATTCCTTTTTATTTTCCTGTTGTTATCTCTGTCTCTCTTTATTAACATCTTTTTCTGTATATTTTTCCTGCACCGCTTCCGTTATTAAAGGACGATCTTAAAAATTGTTACGCTCTAAATAAGAACTTAAAGTATCATTGTCTCTGTGAGGAGCGCTTCTGTATAGTGAGACCTGTCATATTCCTGTCTAAAAGGACAGCAGTATCATAGGCTTTGTTTAAGTTTTTGAAGTGTCACAGCATTTGCTGAGTGCATGTTTCCATTAAAACAAATGGTGGCAGCTATGGTTTTGTGTATAAAGTGTTAACTGGGGAGTTACCCAACCCTAGTGACGATCACTCTCAGTCTGGTGGCTGAGATTGTGTCCTGCGAGCTGGGAAATCTCAGTGCAGGGGAGAATGCGAGTGGTATCACCACATCCTTGTGACGGCTTTGTCGGTTCGGAACTCCCTATAGTCATGTGTTATTGACGTACATTGGGTTCGGGCAGGTGCAGTTGTCACAGTGCATACCTCCCAACAGTCCCTCTTTTGGGACCAAATCCCTCTTTCCTTGTCAGTTGTCCCTCTTTTTGTTCTGATGTACAGATATCAACTAAAAGGTTCTACAGAACTTCCAAAAGTGTTATTCTACACTAAAACCTGAATCTTATCTCCTATTTTTCTTCTTTGGTAGTTCAAAAGCCAGTATAAAGGAAAAGTTTTAAAAAAATTGGAGTTTACCGAATCATTTTTGTCATATAGATTCTTAATTGTCCACATAACTGGGTGTGTAAGTATAAACCCGCTCCAGATTCTGTCTGCTCCAGTATTGATAAATGTCTCCACTGTCCTGGAAGGTGTCCGTCTTGCTCATCTCAGAAAGTTAGGTGGTATGGTGTCTCCACTGTCAGGCCACCTGACTTGCACACTTCTTCCAGGTCAGTGTTTGATTAATGAATGACCCTTCCCGTATTTCTGTTCTAACAAGTTCACCTTAACACCCGGTTCACACGTTTATCTGTGTTCCTTCCTGCAAATGATTTCAATGGGTTCTGCACGCGCAACAAACGTGGGACTTTAGCTCATGTAGCCGATTCTGCGACAGGCATGCCGTATTTTTTCACCACACGTTTGTGCAAGTTTAATGGGCAGCAAATGCAGAAAACGTGAATTTGCCCAGTCGCGTTTGGGGTGTTAGTAATAATTGCACTACATGCGCATTGCCCATTTTTGACGCGTTCCCGTCAAAGTGTGAATGGAGACCGACTGGTGCACATTGCGGGTGTTTATAAACCAAAAAGACATGGCGCAACAATCTAGAATATGTATGGGCTCGTTCACACCAGCTTGTGTGCTAAAACCCAGAGGGGGGCTCCCGGCTCCCAAGATGCATCGTTACACCTCAAACTGTTTCCTTTTCTTTTTTTTTTACTTGACACTTCATTCAACAAAATGCACCTCAGTGCAGCCTGGTGTGGTGACAAGCAGTGTGTGTAAAATTGTAGTCATGCCATGCTGCATCTCTGCTGATAATATATTTCAGCTGAACAGCAGATACCGAACAAAGAAGATCTATACGTCACTTTCCCCTTCTGGAAAGTACACCACGCTCACGCTGAGGACACAGTTCGCTCATTGGACACCAGGTGACGCTCTTTCTGCCTCCAGAGTCCAGCTCTATGGTACAGTGACGTAGGAAGATTACGCCCCCCTTTACCCTTGTGTGTCCGAGTTCCCTGTGCCGGCGCCTGGTGGAGTGCTGTGGTACGCGCGTGTCTCTTTCTTCCGGTCCGGATCCTCGGCACGTCTCCGTGTCCTCACACAGCTGTAGCCATGTTGGGAGCCTCTCTTCTCCGGTTCTGCGTGTCCTCTGGTGTCCGCAGCCTGTCCCGCTGCCGTCCACAGCCTCAGCTCGTCGGTTCCCAAGGTGAGACCCCCGCAGTAGCCTTTATCCCGGCCATTGTGTCCTTGACTAGGTAAGTGGGGACGGGGACCACGGCTGATGCGGCTTCCCGTCCACAAGCCGCCGTGTACGCTCCGCGCTGTGATTGGAGGGTTTGTTAGTAGTCTTCCGTGTACGAGCTGAGCTCGGTGTCGGGGCGGTGGCTCTGTCACTGGTCCTCGGTGCCGCCTCCGGTGTGCCCGGTGCTGTGCCCTTGTGATGACCTGGAACAGGCTGTACGCTCGGCCTGCTGTCTGCAGAGCTCGGGGGAGGAGGAGCCGGTGCGGGAAATGAATGAGGCCTGACAGCTATAGTACGGGGAGCATAGGGCTGTGTATTGCAGGCTGGCCCCATGCATAATGCTCATTCTCTTCTATAGCAGTCAAAGAGGAACTTCACACCCTGTTTTATAATATTTTTTAATTCACTGTCCTCTTACCTTGTGTGTTGGGTCATTAATAATCATATACGCCTGACGAGTCGTGCATTGTCAGGCTGTAATGCATTGCTGCTCATTCAGTCCTGTGTGCTGATGGCGTGTCATCGAGGACCAACTGTGAACCATAAAGAGACAGCAGGCTCCTGATAAGTCACCATGACTCATTGTCTTTACATTGCCCCAAAGCCACCTGGAATGTGTGACATGAGTATACCAAGAGGGTGGGGTACGCTATTCTTGCCTGGGTGAGAAATCCAGAAGTGAGGGGCCGCATGCATACAAATGAGTGATTGTGTTAAGTGGGTAGGCAAGAGGGTAAGGGTTCACTTTCACCGATCTGCTTTTCACTGTGAATGAAAAATGTCTCCTGTGGCTCTGTACAGTGCAATATATAGGCCTCGTGCACACTACATGCAAAAACATTGAGTTCTGGTGCGTTTGGAGCTTATTTCTAAGAGTACCTGGACTCATGTAATGCTTTTCTATGACTGAATGCACGCCTAGGCGTCCTGCAGCATCTAGGTGCCTTCAGTCTAGGTCACTTTACCCAAAATAGAAATTTCTGCATTCCGGGTCCGACTAGGCCAGTTTTATGCGGCTGAACGCGTATAAATGCAACTAAGCCCAGCACAGAAAAAAGTGATCTGGTGAAGCACAAAGTTGTTTTATACTTTCCAGATAACTTCTGTTGGGCTTAACCGCAGCCTGCTAGTGAGCATGAGGCCATAGGCGGCTGGATCAGGCATTAGAACCTTTCCACAAGACATTCCTATGTAGGCTTTATCAATGCTGCCCATATATCATCTCCTACAGCTCTACTATCTGTTACTCTTTAACTTGTAAATAAAGATCGTAAAGGGTTTTAGTAAATCTGGCCTGTTCAATGTGCACCTTCAATGCCACTTAGAATTTCTCCTTCACCTGTCTGGCATTAGTAACCTTAACTTTGGTTGTCAAGGATAAGTTCCATTTGTGTGTCACCCAGTTACTTTGTTTTATAGAATATAATGGTCACATTCTGTACCGCAAGCCTTCATTTCACTAGTTACCTGTCTGCTAATGTCAGGCCGTATGAGTGTCCCTGGAAGCAGTGAAACGTGAGTTCCTGAAAGCAGCTGATGGGGCTGTGTGTGTATCCCGGAAGAAAGGTCACATTCAGTGGTGTGTGCAATGTGAAGGAGAAGCAAATGAACTTCCTGTTCTGGCAAATATGTCAGATGAACACGTAGTTTCTTCTCTCTACGTCTTTTATCCACAATGTCATTTTAACTTGTAACATAAAGCGTAGGAACTTTTACTGATGTAAAAAGGGACTGCAGTACTTATCTTTGAAGGGACTTTATCACATTTTAGTCTGTAGAGGGTTTCATACATTTCAATCATGCTGCTCGTATGTTCAATACATTTGTTTTTTAAACCAAGAATACATTTGAGGCTGTAGGAATGCTGACTGTGTTGCATGTGTTGGTTGACTTGTCATTCTTTCATTTGCTTTTATTTGTCTGACAGTGGAGACATGTTTTGAAATCCATATTTAACAAAGTATCCCATGTACACTGATTTAATTAACAGTTAGTGGCAAACTGCCTTCATTACTTTTGAGAATATCTTAGAATTATTCCAGAGGCATAAAATCATATTTGAAGTATTTTGAAATACAGTTTTGTCAAGAATAAAGGGGACATGTAGTTTTAGCTTTACGTGTGAGAGAATAGTTTTCAAGGCATAGCACACCTTTTATAAAAAATAAATGCACACACCTTCATTAAAGAAAATGTGTGTTTTTGTGTGAATGGGAGTCATTAAAGCATTGCAACCATGATCAGTGCATCACAGGTGCAATGCTCTGGCTCCTGCAGATTCTCCCTCCCATTCATGTCTCTACCATTGTAAGGACTTTCAGTTACAGGAACAGGAGGTAGTATGAATGGACTACAAGTGCATTGAGAACTGCAAGTCCTTGTGTCGCGGTGGACTTGTAGTCTGTCCATTCACAGAATCTAATCAAAGGACCGCTGGGTGGATGGTGCAGGTGGAGCCGCAGGCAGCTGTGCCAGGCTTAAACTGCCAGCTGCCAGTGGGAAAAAGAACCCTGCTGTTCGGGGGTGCAGGGGGTTTGAAGATGTGACCATGTTTCATGTTATAGCCTAAATATGGCTGTAACTTAAAACATGCTACTAAAACAAAAGTTATCCTTTTAAGCACTTTTCTCATGCTCAGTTTTGGGCAGGGATGCACTGGTGCCGTTTTTTTGGTATCAAGTAGAGTTGTTTTTCGGTACTCGCCGATACCGAGTGCCGGTGCTGTGTGCCCTGATTATCAGGAAGTCGGACGGCAAATCATGACCTGTCGCCTGGCTTCCTGATTGCCTAGAAAGCCGGTGTTCTAGCGAAAGAACAGCAGCTTCACCTAGCGAGGCTCTCCGGCTTCCTGACCAATCAGGAAGCCGGGCTGCGAGTCATGAGGTGCCGTCTGGCTTCCTGATGGGTCAGGAAGCCAGGCTGCCTAGCAACAAGTGAAGCCTGCTTGCTATCTAATCAGGAAGCCGGGCAGCACGTCATGACCTGTCTCCTGGCTTCTTGATTGGCTAGGAAGCTGGCTTCACTTGTTCCTAGGCAGCCTGGCTTCCTGACCAATCAGCATTACGTGCCACCAGGCTGCCTAGCAACAAGTGAAGCTGGCTTCCTTGCCAATCAGGGAGGCGGGCGATAACCCATTGCCCGGCTTCTTGATTGGAAAGGAAGCTGGCTCCATGCTTCCTCGGCAGTGCCGGTCAGAGGGAGATCTCCCTCTGACCGGAAGTTCCAGTATCTGGGTAAGTATCACAGTATTTGGGCAAGTACTTGTACTCACCCAAATATTTGGTACCGGTACTAGTATCGTTATCGGTGCATCCCTAGTTTTGGGTTTAAAGTTTTTACTGAAGATCTCCAACTATAGGTTTCCTGAAAGCAGATGACCTTGTGTAAATGTTCTACTTCTAGGGGATTACATGATTGATTTACATGTCTTCTTGTTGCTGGAGCAGCAGTATCAGGCTGCAAGTATGTCCCTTTTCATGCCTGACCCGGTGCAGCAACTTGGAGCAATGGACCTAAAGTCAATATTGAATTTGTGAACAGCTTTAAGGGCTTGTTCACACGATGTCCAGATTTTGTCCGCACCAGAGCCGTGCGCTCCTGCACCCAAAATGCATCCCAATGTCTGTGTTTTATGGGCTACAGTTCTCACCAGTGCAGTCCGTTCCGGTCTGGACAGAAAAAATACTGCATGTCACATTTTCTACGGACTGGAAATGCACATACGCGTCAAACGCTTCACAATCGCACTGCATCTTACATACTGAAAGCCCCACTCCCAAAACATTTTTTTTACATTTTTGTTAAAACTGGAACATGGTAAAAACGCACTGCACGCATAGCACCGCATCTGCAGATCTGCTCCAGATCTGGACCCGAAAATGGTGTGAACAAGCCCTAACAGTGGAAATTGAGTGTTATAAATTGCAGATTAATTGCTGGTTATCTGTAACACCTGTAGCTATGGTAATGTAGCTCATTTGGAAAAATAAACATTCAAATTGAGGAAAAAAATTATTGGTTCTGGTTTGCTAGAGAGCGAGTCCACCTGGTTTATGTACTAGTTCATTGTAACCGTCACCTTTTTTACAGCATTCTTGGTGCTAATAACCACCAAATCACTGGAGCGAGGGTCAGCAGTTCTGTTTAGGGAAGCAGAGGTCTGTGACAATTTTCTCACCCTACCTGCTAAAATATCAACAAGACTTTTAGGGTCTGTTCACCTTCCTTACAGATTTACAGATGCAGCTTGCTTTTAAAATGCATTCCTTCCCTCACTCACCTTGTACTTTGATATCCAGCCTGCTGTCATAAACAAAGAGCTGGTATATTTTACACCTTTTTCTTTTATAGCATCCACTCTTGCATTGTACTGACCTCATCATAAGCTACAAAAACACCGTCTCATTCAAAACTGTTTTAAAAACAGAACCCAACTTGGTCTTATCATCAAGGGTCAGATCTCAGCCCTAATGATTCTTTCAAAGACTGCTTTCGTACACTGTCGTGGACATTGCTCTCCATGTATGTTCCCCATTGACTCTGTATGTCAGTCTGATTCTTTCAGTTTTGCAGAATCTGCCTGTTGAGCCTATCAGGGACTTTTCCCTGTCTGCTTTCACAAGATTGCCTTTTTCATTTCCATGAGAAGAGTTTTGAGTTGGCAGCCTTGAACTTTTTTTGTGCTTCACAGTAGGGATGCGCCGATACTGAGTAGGAGCAGTATCACCCAAATGTTCTGATACTTACCCCGATACCGGAATTTCCTGTCAGAGGGAGATTACCTGTGACCAGCAGTGCTGCAAGGGAGCATGAAGCTGGCTTCCCATCCAATCAGGAAGCAGACTTCATGCTGCCTAGCGACACAGTGGGCAGGAAGCTAGGCAAAAGTATCGGTGCATCCCTACTTCAGTGGCAGGTTTGTCTTGAGGCCTACACCCTTTTTCTTCCTGTGGTGGTTTCTCCCTCCCACCTTAACCAGGACAGTGTTCTTACATTTCTATGTCCTGCTTCATGACATCCCTGAAAGATTTCCCCTACTGTCTAGATGTGGTATGTGCTTTTCAAGTCTACCTCTCGATTACAGATTCCTAGACTGACTTTTTGTCATTCCTGATGGTACCAGTAGGGGACAACCTGCTTCTCGTTCCACTATATCCAGGTAGATTCGACAGCTCATTGTTCAAGCCTGTTGACCAAGGGCTACGTAGGCAACCTCGGCATTCTAGCTGTTGTGGAATTACAAGTCCCATAAATTACAAGACAGCCACAGACATCATAATCAAAGGCATAATGTAGTTTCACCACAACATGAGTGCTTAGGTTGCCTCCCCCTTCTACAGACTTAAAGCCTATTTCCGCCTTTGCAGAGGTATTTAAAAACAAACAAACATGCCAGCAATGTACACCGACTCTACATGAAGCAGGCATATGCAGCTGATGTATATGAACACATAAATGTACAGGTTTTTTTTTCCGCTTTTCTCTTCATATCTGCATGGAAATTTCTGCCTCTGCTTTGCAAGAAATGTGTGTATATCTTCACCCCCCACCTCTCGGACAGTGTATCAAGTGTAAAGGCAGAGCTGGTGTTTACTGATTATGTTACAATGGGTGACAGGGAGGGAGGCAGCTGATTAGTCTGACCCCCCAGTGTCAGACCGATTTACCTGTAGAAAAAATGTAAACTTTTAGGCTGCAGGGCTAATTAAACCTTCATTAAAAAAAATAGAAGGCCTGCAATGTGAGTCACGAAAATGTGCACATGTATACGTCATCACTGCACCTCTACATTACCACAATAAATGCTAATCACTTACAAATTTGGAAATGGAAATGAAGGCTCCACCTTCCCTGTCAAAAAGCACTCTACTAGATCAGTTGGTGCTTCGAGGACTTTTCACCGTCTGTTTCTTAAATTGCAAAGCTGCCACCTGGTCTTCTGCTCACATATGTTAAATTTTGCCAGGTGGATGTTCAGGCCTCAGTCTACGCCAGCTTTGTTGGTAAGGTTTCTCAGGGAGCTCTATTGAGCCCCTTCTGTTTTGCCTTTTGTTCGTGTGGGGTGGTTAGGGTTTTGTTTGCAGTGTTGCCCACCCCTCAGTTGGACTGTTTTTGGATGTCCCTGTGTACCACAATTACTATCCTGTTAAATTCCTTTTGAGTGGATTAAGGGACACAGATTTCTCCTCTGTTCTAATGATTTATCCCTACTATTGCTTGCTTATAATCTAAGGCATGATGGAAGTTTGAGGGCTTTTACTAAGCTGTCCTTACAGCTTTTGTCAGCCAGTGTCCAATCTGCTGATGGCTGCATAACCCCTTTGTACCAGAATTACTATCCTGTGTCCCCTAAATTTACATGAAGAAAATTAACTTGGCGTATGAAAAGCAACTTTTTGAAATAAAGGGACATGGTTACATACATAGTTAGTCAGGTTGAAAAAAGACACAATTCCATCAAGTTTAACCTATAGAGATGAGAGGGAAAAAAGAAAAACCTAAAACGGAACACTATACCCACAGCTATCCAATGTTCCAGAGGAAGGCAAAAAACCCTGTTAAGCATGATCCAATTTGCTCCAACAGGGGAAAACAATTCCTTATTGATTCCGTAGACAATCGGATATTCCCTGGCTCAACAATCTCTGGTATTTAACCCCTTCGTGACTGACGACGTACAGTGTACGTCGATTAAACAGTTAACTGAGTTAGCTCCTGGGGGAGTCTGTTCCACATTTTCACAGCTCTAACTGTGAAGAATCCTTTCCATATGCAAAGGTTAAACCTCTTTTCCTCCAGACGTAAAGTGTGCCCCCTTGTCCTTTGCAGTGACCTTAAAGTGAATAATTTGGCACCAAGCTCCACTATATGGAGTATTTATGTATTTATTCATGGTGATCATGTCCCCCCCGAACAAATTCAGGTCAACTCATCTTTCTTCATAGCTGAGCTCCTCCATGCCTCTTATCAGTTTAGTTGTCCTTCTCTGCACTGTCTCCAGTTCCACAACATCCTTTTTATGAACTGGTGCCCAAAACTGAACTGCATATTCCAGATGAGGTCTTACTAATGCTTTGTACAGGGGCAGGATTATGTCTCTATCCCTGGAGTCTGGACCCCGCTTAATACAAGAAAGTATTTTGCTTGCTTTAGAAACTGCAGCTTGACATTGCATGCTATTATTGAGTCTATGATCTACCAGAACACCCAGATCTTTCTCCATCATTGACTCCACCTAGAGCAGGGATGGCCAAACTGCGGCCCTCCAGCTGTGGTGGAACTACGAATCCCATAAGGCTTTGCAAGATTCTCAGCCACAGACATGACTCCCGGAGAGGGATGCTTCATGGGATTTGTAGTTTCACCACAGCTGGAGGGCTGGAGTTTGGCTATCCCTGCCAGTGCATTCAGGTCTGCTTGTAAGTTGGAGACATCCTGTAAGGACTGTATTCCACTACATAACTTGGTGTCATCTGCACACACAGAAATTGTACTTTTAATCCCCCAACTGTCATTTATAAATGGATTAAACATTAAGGGGCCCAACACTGAACCTTGGGGGACACCACTAACAACCTCAGACCATTCAGAGTATGAATTGTTGATCACCACTCTCTGAATACGGTCTTTAAGCCAGTTTTCTATCCAATTACAGATGGAATGCGCTATACCTACTGACCTTAACTTGTACATTAGCCGCATGTGGGGAACTGTCAAACGCTTTTGCAAAGTCCAAGTATACTATATCCACAGCCATTCCTCTGTCCAATGTATTACTCACTTCCTCATAAAAAAAGTAGGTTTGTTTGACAACTTTTGTCTTTTGTGAACCTGTGCTGCAAGGTAAGCTCACCGCCTGAAAGGAACAGAGGTTCGAAAATAGCAATGTGTCTCCCCTGGACAGAGGAAACACAATAACTGAGGGGGATACCTGGAGGTGGCCTTTTGATTTGTAATGGTGGTGTTTCCTGCCCTCTCTTTCTCCTGGGCTGTCCTGGAAGATTGGAGGTGGATATACTCAAGCCAAACATGAATCAGATGAGGAATTTGATGCTCGCTGGGTGACTTACTTCAACAAGCCAGACATTGATGAATGGGAACTAAGGAAAGGTATGAAATGAATTTTTTGGATAGAAGTATGTCGGAACTGTATTTTGTATCACAGCCACTAGTGAGACTCCTACTTTCAGATCTTGTGTTTTTTTTGTTTTGTGTTTTTTTTTGTTTTATACGTCATTGGTGCTAGCAGCCTTTTTAGTATGAAAGGTTTGATACAACATGAAGTTTGCCATTTCAGGTAACCACAAAGGCAGCCTCAAGTTCTTTATTGCTGAGCTATTCATTTTTTTTGTTCTCTCAAATACATGGAAACCTGTTAATTGCCGGGTTTTGTATGTTCACATTGCTTTACAAATGTGAAAGTGTTGCCTATAATTGTCATTCTTTTGCATGCTTGTTTTCTGACCTGCACTGGAAAAAGTTTTTATCTATTGTACCTTTTTATCTATTGTACCTTTTTATATATTTGTCCTTCACTTTAGTTATTATGCTGAGACTAATATGTTGGCACATTGAGAAATCTTTTTTTTCCTCTCACTGCTGTCTTCTACATACAGGTGTAAACACACTCATCGGTTATGATTTAGTTCCTGAACCAAAGATCCTTGATGCTGCCTTGCGCGCTTGCAGACGGTTAAACGACTTTGCAAGTTCTGTTCGTATTTTGGAAGCCGTAAAGGTAAGGAAAGAAGCCTCTCTGACTTGCCAATAAGTGTACCTACAGAAATTAGAATTCTTAACCTTTATTTTGAAATAAAGAAATCTGAATTCCTTTATATATAAACCAACCTTGCTTCAGTGTTTCTTGCTTACCTACAACTTAAAGGATTGCTACCTTGAAAAAATATTGTTTTCGGCTAACTGTGTGTGGTTATAGCGTGTGTAATAATAATAATGCTAGATTGTTTCTGAACCTGTTCTAGTTTGTCCCTATTGGGCAACTTGGTCTGCAATTACATGTGGAGAAACGTATTAATAAAATGTATTGACCTATTACGTTTAACATAATGAAATATTTATAGTGTTTAAAATATTTAAATACATATTTTTTAGTCAGTGGTGAAGTTGCATATATCTCAAACATATTTCCTTAGATAATCTGGTTCCAAGCAAACTTTTTAGTGGCATGTAATATTCTGAAATGCCTTTTTGGATGTATGCAGACAATGAGTTAGAATTGCTTCTATACATAAACAGGGAGAGTTTTACAGTAAAGCTAAAGCATTCAGTGATTTGGGCTGAGTTTGTGTTTTAAGTGCTTCACAAAGGGTGATCAAGATCAACCTATTATGGTAGACATTGAGGTAGTGCAATTTTTTTTGATTTTGTGATTTGAAATTTTTTTCTTTTTTAGGACAAGGCTGGACCTCACAAGGAAATCTACCCATATATCATCCAAGAACTCAGACCGACTTTAGATGAGCTTGGTATCCCTACCCCAGAAGAACTGGGCCTAGACAAGGCATGAGAATTACAGGTGAAAAGTGGCAGGGTTTCTAAGTCTATGAAATATATATCAGTGCAGTGGGAACCTGAAGATCTTCAGCTGCTATGTCTACTGCTGCCTGGCAGATGTTGAGTTTCACATCACGTGAAGACCTTTTTGGGTGCTCATTGTGAGGAGGCTAGGCAGATATTGCAATTTTAGCACATATCTACTACATAATGTAAAACTTGGTGATTCACTGTCATCTGTAGAAGCAATTGCTGAATTGTTAAGGTGCAGGATCCAGGACTTGTTATATTTACCATAGTTTTCTAAATGACTGACTTGGAGAAAGTATGGAGGGCAAGAGCTTCAGCTTTACCTAGTATGTATTTTGGTCTAGATCAGTGACTCATTAAAGGACCATTGTTGCAAAAAATAGTATTTTGAAAACTATGTGCAGTTAATACTAGAGCTGCAGCTAACGTTTATTTTCAAAATCGATTATTAAGTTCGATTAATCGGATAAAAAATAAAAGCGTGGCCGAGCGGGTCTGGCAGCGGCGCGCGTGAGGTGGGGAGGATTTGCCGCGTGTGTGTAGCCGTGAACAGGGCCAACTAATCGGAAGCCAATTAATCGATGATTGAAAAAGTTTTTCAATCGATTATGATCAATTTAGTTGTTGCAGCCCTAGTTATTACGTATAATGGTATTATATATTAGCACTGTCGGAGATTCTTGAATTATTGCAGCAACTGTTAGAAACACAAAATGTGACTAAAAAGTGATTGTTGTAAAGCACATAAGGCAGTGTAGTCACTTGTCCCAACCCATGTCACTGTCACATTTGCTGGTTCTGCTAAAAAAACTGGGTTAGCTTCTCTTTTCAATTTGTTCAGTTAAGCTTTGAAAATGATAGCCGATTGTTGCCATGGGCAACTGCTCCAGATTCAGTTTGCTTGAGTTTTGCTAAATTCCCCATATTGTGTTATGTGTTCTTTGAAAAAGCACTCCGTACACTGGAAAATGCCTCGGCGCTTTATCTAGTTTTGTTGGCTGATTTAGATTAAAGGAAAAGTTTTTAGTGGACTTGGTGTGTTATCTTCCCAGTCAGGTGTTCTATACTGGTGATAAACTGTATATGCCAAGCAGTCCCCCAACAACCAGCCCTGACGAAGCTCCTCGTAGGTGTGCTAGGAGTGTGCTTCCTGAAGCCTGTGCTGTGCATTGTCATCTTCTGCTTTCTATACAGCTAGTCACATTTAAAACGCTTAAGGTTTGATTCTGATTGGTGGGTGTGACTTTGGTTTCTATATGAGTGGAGCATAAACTTGCCAACATTAGTTGTGTTTGGGAGTACCCATCTTGCAATAAAAATGAGTTCCTAGATCATAAGATTGCTAAAAAAGGGCAATTGTGATGGACTGGGGTGCTACACCAAAAAATACTGACCAGGTAGACTGTGCTTCATGTAAGCATCCCAGGGGTTACTTTTTAATTCTGCCTGATGTATGCCTTTAAAGGCAAACTCCAGCTAAAATGTTTCTTTAGTATTTGAGGGAGGCTAACAAAAAAAGAAAGAGATGAGAGAGTAACTTATTCCTGTTCCTATAGAGATTGTTTGAGGTAAAAGATTTTGCTTTGCCCTTTTAGAAAATGAGAAAGTTCTGCAAAACCATTGTTATATCTGGTGCACCTTGTCATTCCTATTAATAATATAAGACTTTACATAGATATATAGCATCACCTTGGAAATGTGTTAAAATAGACCCCAACCATTATAGTGACCGTTCAAGTACTAGCTTTGGACCCTGTTAAAACGGCTCCCCTGTAACTGGCTTTTTCAGTAAAACTATGCAAAGGGATGTTAAGATGTTTGAGAGTAGTAACCTGTAGCGCCTAGACTAAGCGCATTTATCATTCTCAATTCTGTTGCTATGGGTAACTTGGCATGTTTGCCTTAATAGATAAGCCTTTATGTGCATTTCAAATTAGCACTACAAAATCGCACAATTTCAAATTGTGGGATAAAAAAGAAATGACCTAGCAAAGTTTTACCAAGAAAAAAAAACTGGCCTCAGGTGTAAGCGGTGCTGTCAGTTGCCATGGGTAGTATAGGTGCACATAATTTTATAGGATATTGAGTACTGGACTAGAAAGTAACTGCTTTTTCATTGTAAGAAAGTAGATGTTTGCTTTATAATCTGCAATAGTTACTGAATGCAATGTCTTGCTCTTAAAGGAGAACTATGAGGTGAGTGCTTTTCACTCACCTCATAGTTCTAGCTGACCTGTGACAATGAGACTGTCACAGGTCGGCTGAGTAGATCGGGAGGTAAGCGAACAGATACCGGCGTTTGCTCACCTCTCGATCCTGTCACGGCTCTCTGCCGTGACAGGGGAGGGGCTGGATTCCCCGCTCCGCCAGCGCTAACTGGCGGAACGGACGGGGCGGGTACAGCTGGCTCTGCCTCTAGATAGGCAGAGCCAGCTGTCGCTCACGCAGCTGGGCGGATCTCGACATCGATGTCGGGATCCGCTCCGACTGCGGCGTCTCAGTATACCGCGAGCTGTAGCTCGCGTATCCTGAGCTTAGGGTAACGGGAGGACGCTAGTTTGTGTCCTCCCGTTACCCTAAGGAGAACTATGGGGAAAAACACTGACCCCATAGTTCTCCTTTTTAAGAAGACCTGAACTCGGTGAAGATTTGCTATTCTATAGGGAAAATTAGGGATGCACTGATACCGATTCTAGCATCGGTATCGATGCCAATACCGAGTATTTGGGCGAGTACTCTCCCAAATGTTCCCAATACCGGAACAAACGGTATTGGGAAGCTGGACAGGGAGTCAATACATGCTGCCCGGCTTTCTGATTGGTTGGGAAGCCGGCTCTATGCTCCCTAGTCAACGGAGCATGGAGCCGGCTTTCCGGCCAATCGGGAAGCCAGGCGTTGTGTAATGACTTGCCGCCCGGCTTCCTGATTGGCCAGCTTGCCAACCAATCAGGAAGCTGTGACTCATTACTCACCCCCAGATTCCTGATTGGCCAGAAAGCCGGCTCCATGCTTCCTCGTAACCTGTTGACGAGGGGAGCATGGAGACGGCTTCCCAGCTAATCTGGCAGCGGGGCGGCGAGTCATTACATACCGCATGGGTTCTTTAACCAGTTGACATCCGCGGTGTTAAACCCCCTTCCTGGCCAGGCCATTTTTCAGTATTACGGCAAGGAGCACATATAGACGATCGGCGGGCTATGGAGCCGCTGATCGTCTATATGTTAAACACCCGGTAACGAATTGGTCGGGTCTTTTCTGCCTGTGCGCGCCCGCGAGCAGAAAAAAAATGCCGTCTGGAGCCGGCAACCCACCAATGCTGCAGTGCCGTCTGTCCATTTTTTACAACGGGCGGACGGCAAGTGGTTAATGGGAACGGTAAGTACTGAAAAAAAGAATATCGGTACTTGATTACCGAAAAACCGGTAGTGGTGCATCTCTAGGGAAAATCTATAAATGTTAATTGTGTCTCAGCAGTTCCATCAATTTTTTTTTTTGCCTGAAATTGCGTTTAAAAACGGCTCTCCCTTTGCTTTGAGCCTGTGCTGTTCACTTTTCTCCTTGCAGGAGAGAAAGCTATACCTGAGGACATGCAGACAAGCATATACCTGCTTCTGTTGAGTTCATTTATTTTTGCACCTCTGCTGTTCCATCTTGATTATTCATACACCTGTTTATCAAAGGGGCAGTTCCGACATAAGCAAAATACATATCTCTACCAATATGGCCCCTTCACATAGAGACATTGAGGCTGATTTACTAAAGGAGTTGAGAATCATCACACAAATTGAATATTCACTTAATTTCTCCAATCATGTGAAAGCAATATCCTGTTTACTTATTTCATTTTGAAATTGAATAATTGAAGTGAATATTTACACTTTGTTTGAAAATTTTCAGCTCTTTCATAAATTAGCCAATCAACAAGCCATGGCTGAAAACATGAGCTTCAGAGAAACCACAGGCGATACTAATGACTTCTCCTTTGTGCTGTGCTTGCCCTTTTTGGGACACTTCTTCCACATTTAAGTTCCTTTTTTTAATTTGACTATTGCTTGAATTTTATAATGGCTTTTTTCCCACTAAATGTTTTTTTTTTTCTTTTTCCGACAGGTTCTCCATCCAAAAGTTTTATGAACATCTACTTGATTGTAAAGAGCCATCCACAAATACAAAGATGTTAACATATTACCTTTATTTGAAAAACTTGCAACAAAGTGTTCTTTTATTGAGTCCTAATGTGTGTAATATTATGTCGGACCTAATAAAGGGATATTGTTTAATCTGATGGAGTATTTCAGTTCTTTGAGGTTTATACCGTGGCCGTGTTTGTGTTTTTTTAGTAAACTTCTCTGTTTAAACAGCTGGGTTGAATTTTTAATTTTGTTGTGTGTTTAAAGTGCAATCTGTGGCCATTTTTCATTGCTTATAGTGGATCAGTAATCAAATAACACAAAGCTAGGGTCATTTTGCTGGGATGGATGCAGACTAAATTGATCCATAAATAGTTCATGCATTGTAGCCAAGTATCTAAATCACATGGCTGGAGACACTGATGACTCCCGTGCCTGTTAATATATCTGCAACACATGCACTGTTGATGTTGCCTGAGGACAGATTTAGGCAACCTTTGAAACATGTGGGCTGCTATTTCTGACTGAAAATGCTAGTTGTGTGGTTGCCACTCTGACAGTCACAGACCTGTAGCAGACATACTTCTTAGGAGTTCTAACTTCACTGACTGTATATTCTTATAGATCTCTGACTCAAAGTATTGAGGCCAGTAGGACAATGAAGCTACTATGATTTCCACAAGCAGTCGATAATGGCATCCTTCAGGTTTCCTTAAGTTTTAAATATATGTCCACTACAGTGGTTCTGATGAAATGTGGTTGCTATAGTTTGCTGCTCTTGATGCCATACCACTGCTGTTTGCACTGGCTTAGTACATACGCTAATGCATAGCAACAAAAATAATTGGACAAAGTAGAAAAGGCAGTCATTATATAAAATGTCTGAATTACAAGAATGGAGCACTACTGAACTCTTCTGACAGGGCTAAAATGTGCAGTTCTGTCCAAGCCAGAATCTGATCAGATTTTCTTTGAGCTGCGAGACCTGTTGTTTCCTCCCTGATGGTTCTTGTAAGCTACTGCTGTGGCATTGCCCACCTCAATCCTGGTTGGGTGACCCAGTGGTTGAGAGGTCCTACATCCACATCCAGGGATCAGCAAATAGTGTTCCAAAATATTCAACCGGGCATTTCAGATGTTTGGGTCCAGAAAATGGTTTCCAGGGGCTACAAGCTAGAACTTCAATTTCTACCTCAACCATGCTTCCTGATGTCAAGCTTGCCAACGTCCTGTGAAGACTAGCAGACTTCCACACTGCTCTAATTGAGCAACTTTCCCAAGGTTTGCCATAGCCATAGTCTCCGAAAAGGAAAGATTCCAAGGTTTTTACTCAAACTTGATTATGGTTCCCAAAGTGAAAGGGATCCTGGATCTAAAGGTTCTCAATAACTTCCTTTTGGGTACAAAAATTCTGCATGGAATCCATCAGGTCAGTCATTGCTTCTCACCATCCAGGTGACTTTCTGGGCTCTGTGGACATCGGAGATGCCTATTTACAGTACATGTCTCCCATCTTTATAGCGTATCAATGCTTTCTATGTTTTGCAGTGGGCACTCAACATTACCAATTTGTTGCCCTTCCCTTTGGTCTACTGACTGCATCTTCGGTTTTCCCCAAGGTGCTAGACCCTGGATTTGCATTACCTTGTTCTCAGGCATCCCCATAATGGGATACTTGAGCGACCTCCAACTGGGAACGTCAGCACAGACTCTGTCAAGTCATTGTCCAACAGACTGTCCAAACCCTACAGAGGTTTGGGTGGATCCTGAACCTTTCAAAGGCCAACACTGGAACTTTACGTATTGCTTGTATCTAGGTCTTCTCTTTGATACTATTCTGTCCAGGGTCTTCATTCGCCAGAAAATGCTCTAAACTCCACGCCCGTTTTTGGTGCTTCAGGCCAGGAGCCCACCAACCCTCCATTTTGCCTTCTGTTCAGCCAGTTATGAACCCCCTTCCTGGGCACTGTCATGTTGGAGCGCTATAGCTATTTGCATACATTGACCTTCAGAAAGTTATTTATATAGGCTTTTCGGGGAAGTAAAGCAGAGCAGGGTGATAAAAGAACATGGAGATTTTAAAGTAAATGCAAACCCTAATTGGATTACAGTTGCTGTGCTAAAGCCCAGTGGGGGGTATTCAATAAAGCCTTGATGGCACTTTTCTAGTGATTATGGCCCTGTCGCCAGTTTCAGTAGCTTCACCAACACAGTTAATATTGCCACTTTAAGAATCTATCGCAATGGCTCAACAGATTCAAAAAATAATTGCCAACAGTTTACAGATTGGAAAACTGGCAGTAATTGGGACCAACTTTGATCTGGCGTACAAAGAGATGCCAGTGCTCAGAATGGGGCATGTACACTTTTAGGTACACCTTGCTAGTAAGCAGGATGGACATGGTCAGCAACAAAATTCAGGGAGGCTGTGGCATTTAAAAGATGACCAATAGGTACTAAGAAGCTGAAATTGTGAAAGTTGAGAAAAGGTCTATCTGGCTTGATAAAGATTACACTTTGAAACGCGTAACCGTTTAATTTAGCTCCCACTGACACTCTGGGCTGGCTCCGGTCCCCGCAGTTTCTCCTATCTGTGCCCCCGTCCTGCTGTGCCATCCTCGTATCTGCTCTCCTCTCCCGCAGACCACACGTCAGGCAAGACACTCTCCAGCTGCCACTACGATCCTCTCACAGCAGAGGAGTCCTTTCCTCCCCTTCCCCTCACTGACCTCGGAAGTCTGGTAGCATAGTGACTCATCCAGCAGTCAGCTGCACATATGGCCGGTCCTCACAAATCCTCATACTGACATAGATCAGAAACGAGTGATCACAGTTCACCCCTTCCACAGTCCTCCCCCCTTTTCGCTCTCACTGCTCCTCGGTTGATCTGCTCAGCAGCCCAGCATTCTCAGGATTCCCAACCTGCATCAATTAGCTGCCACAGCAATATTAACACAGGCTTCAGACCCATAACAACATCTGTAAACCACCTCAGCTGAACCACCATTTTAACCAACTCGGTAGAGAATCCATCACCCACCTTGATCCATATCGTCACTGATGTTGCAGCATTCCTTACCTAATGGTAAGTTCATGTATTTTTACACAGTTGAGTTTGCAGTCATTACACTCACCCACTCATCCATTTATTCCTGAAAACATGCTGACACTCGGATATCCGATCAGAAGTGCCGACACCTCACCACACAGCACTACCGCCCTGAAATCCTCAGTCCCAAGACGAAACATTCACCCAGATGTGAGAAACTTTTATATTTCCCAACATCCCATCACCATTCCACGTCAGGTTGTTGGCGCTTCTCCACGCCTCCTTTTTGGTTACCTTTAATACTAAGAAGCTGAAAGTGTGTCAAGAAAATATCGTCTACACCACTACCACCAGCCTGAACTGTTTATACAAGACAGGATGGATCCATGCTTTCATGCTGTTAATACCAAATTCTGACCCGACCATCTGAATGTAGCCGCAGAAATCGAGAGTCATCAGACCAGGCAATGTTTTTCCAATCTTCTATTTTACAATTTTGGGGAGCCCTTGCAAATTGTAGCCTCGGTTTCCTGTTCTTATCTAATAGAAGTGGCACCAGGTGTGGTCTTCTGCTGCTGTAGCCCATCTGCTTCAAGGTTCAATGTGTTGTGCATTCAAAGATCCTATTCTGCTACCTCTGTTGTAATGAGTGGTTATTTGAATTACTGTAGCCTTTCTATCAGCTTGAACCAATCTGGTCATTCTTCTCTGACCTCTGGCATCAACGCAGCATTTTCACCTAGAGAACTGACGCTCACTGGATTTTTTATTTTCTCTTTTTCAGACCATTTTCTGCAAACCCTAGAGATGGTTATTCATGAAAATCCCAGTATATCAGCAGTTTCTCCAATCATCTTCCAGGCCAGAAACCTGAGAAATGATTGGCTCCTCCTACTACAGGAAACACAAAGTCAAAAGAGGTTAAATACCCTCCCATCCCATCGTACCTCAGAGGGCTAGTCGAACCAGAAAGCAGGTGTTTTCCTTTTCACCAATCTCTTAGGGAGCTGGTAGAAAAGGAATAGAGGGAACAAGAAAGAAAATTCCTAGGTTTTCGATCCTGGAAGCGTAGATTTCCCTTTGCAAAGGAGGCAGGGGACATATATTTTAAGTGTCCTCGATTAGATGCCGCCTTGGCCTAGGTATCCAAGAAGTCGGATTTGTCTTTCGAGGATGCTGGAAATATTAAGGACCAAATGGATCGAAAGGCGGAAGCATTACTCCGCAGGGCTTGGGATTCTAATGCCGCCTCCATGGCTCCAGCAGTGGCCACTACCTGCGTGTCACGCAACATGGATCTCTGGTTGGAGCATGTCTCATTACACATTTCCCAGGGGGCACCAACTGAGCAAGTACTGGAATCCCTCGCGGTCTTTGGGAAGGCTGTCGCCTATTTGGCAGACGCTTCAGCAGAGACTGCAAGGGCCACGGCTAGAACCGCTGCACTGTTGAATTCTGCTAGGCGGGCTATCTGGCTGAAGTCATGGGACGGGGATGTTTCCTCAAAGTATCGCCTTTGCTCCATCCCTTTTGAGGGCGGGTTGTTTGGTTCAGATCTAGATGAGGTCTTGACCAGGTCTTCTGAAAAGGGAAAGAAGTTCCCTCTCAAGAAGAGGGTGCGTAATAGACCTTTTTTTCGTCCCCACAGGGACAACAAAAAGCAACCCGGTAAGCCCCAGTTTCAAAGGAAAAAGAACTCGTCTTTTGACAAGAATAAATCCAAAGGAGAATTATTGTTTTTGGCCCCTGCAGCCGCTAATAAAGATCTGAAATGACGCCACCAGGCTGGTGGGTGGCAGGCTCTCCGTCTTCGTGTCTCGCTGGGAGGGGATTTCAGCCAGTCAGTTTATTCTGGATATTTTAAGAGGGGGCTATCGTCTGGAGTTTGTCGCAACCTCCCCAAACCTTTTTTCTCACGAACCCCCCCCCCCTCCCAAAAA